AACCCCTACATGTTCTAAAGCATTTACAGCAGCTCTATTTGTGGTGGCAAAGAACTGGAAATTAATTGTATGGATGCCCATTAATTGGGCAATGGCTGGGGCAGCTAGGTGGCACAGTGGATAGAACACCAGCCCTGGAATCGGGAGGTCTGGAGTTCAAATGTGACCTCAGATACTTAGTACTTACTAACTGTGTGACCCTGGGCAAGTCACTTAACCCTGTTTGCCTCAGTTTCCTCATCTGTCAAATGAGCTGGAGAAGGAAATGGCAAAGTACTCCCGGATCTTTGCCAAGAGAACCCCAGATGGGGTCATGAAGAGTTGAACGTGACTGAAACAGCTGGACGACAACAAAAACACCTGGTTTGGCTTTCTGACTCAGCACATGTAATGATAAAATTAATAGCTATTTATGCAGGCTTTAAGGATTGCCAAGTGCTTTACAAGTATTATCTCATTTTATCCTCACAACAACTCTGGGAAGTAGGTGCTATTATTATCCCCATTTTACAGATGAGAAAACAGAAGCAAACTGAAGTTGAGTGATTTGCCCTGAGTCACACAGCTAGAAAGATCTGAGGCTGGATTTGAATTTAGATCTTCCTGACTCCAGACCCAGGCTCTATCCACTTCATCATCTAGCTGCAGTTCAGTCCAATCCAATTTAAGAAACATGTACTGAATACCTACTAGTATAGAAAGAGACTTGTATTTGGAGTCAGAAGGCCTAGATTTGAGCCTCAAATGTGGCATTTTCACCAGGTAAGTGACCTCGGGCAAATCATCATCTCTCTGTTTCCTCACCCATAAAATGGAGAGGAAGGCTTACATTAAATGACCTCTAAAAGTCAGAGTTTTGTCTCTGAGATTTTGTATCATAAAGTCAGGGAAAAGGCATTGATACCCATGATCTCAGAATCTGAGCCTGAGCCCACACTTGAAATCTTTGTTCATCTCTGTGCTCCTGAATCCCAGAACTTCTGTAATTAAGTTGGGTACAAAGATGTCCTTTCCCCGACTTGCCACCCTCCTCTTCTCCCTTCAGCCCTGCTTCACTCTTTTTTATTTTGCAATCAGGGTTAAGTGACTTGCCCAAGGTCACACAGCTAGTTCCTGAGGTGGGATTTGAATTCAGGTTCTCCTGCCTCCAGGGCCAGTGCTTTATCCATTATGCCACCTAGTTTCCCCTCCTGTTTCACTCTTGAAAGAAACATACTAGGGGAAATGGAGAACATATCAATCCTAGAAGGGATTCTCCATGCCCTTCCCGCTCCAAGACTAATAGGGCTGTTCCTTCAGTCAGCTTCAACAATCATCTCTTTGCAGATGATTCTCAAATCTTGTCCAGCCTCAAGCTTTCTGCTGACCTCGAGTCTCACATCTCCAACTGCCCATTAGCTATCTTGAACTGGATGTCTTGTAGACATCTTAAACTCAACATGTCCAAAACTGAACCCACTACCTTTTTTCCCCCAAACCCTCCCCTCTTCTTAAGTCCCCCTCTTACTGTGAGGGTACCATCATGCTCCTAGACACTCAGGCTCCCAATCTAGATGTCATCCTCTGTTCATTCTCTGCCCCCCAATCCAATCTATTGATAAGGCCCGTTGATTTTACCTTTTTTAAAAAATCATTTCTCAAATGCACTGCCTTCTCTTCTTGGACTCTGTTACCATCCTGGTCTAACCTCTCATGCCTAGATTATAGCAATAGCCTGCTGCTTGGTTGCCCCCCCCCCCAGGTCTCCCCCTCTGTAGTCCATCTTCCATTCAGCTGCCAAAGTAATCTTCCTAAAGTATAAGTCTGACCGTATCATTCCTTTATTCAGTAAACTCAGGTGGTTCCCTATTACCTCCAGGATCAAACTTAAAACCCCCTGTTTGGCTTGTAAATCCCTTCATTAGCTGGCCCCTTTCTACCTTTCTAGTTACCTTATACCTCCATGTATTGGGTGATGGAGTGACACTGGTCTCCTGGCTGGTCCTCCTACAACACATCCTATATCTGTAGCTTGGAATTGTCCCTGGATGTCCCTCCCCCCCCATACCTGGAATGCTCTTCCTTCTTATCTCTGTCTCCTGGCTTCTTCAAGTCCCATTTAAAAGTCCTTCCTTCTATAAGAAGGTTTTCCCACTCTCCCTTAATTCTAGTGCCTTCCCTCCGTTGATTCTCCAGTTCTCTAATTGATCTTACATATCTTGTTTGGACATGTTTGTTGTCTGCATCTTGTCCGCTCCATTAAGTTGTGAGCTCCATGATGGCAGAGACAGTCTTTTGTCTAGCTGTATCCTCAGCCCTTAAGCCCATGGTAGCCAACGTTTAATGACTGACTGATTCAGGGTATTTGCTTCAAAGACTACTGAAATTTGGGCATTTGTAAGTGGTTTCAAAGAGAGAAGAATTACCCCGGAGGTAGATCAAGAAACCTAGAGGAAGGCAGGAAAAGTAGACTCAATTGTTTTAGAAGAGAAAGTATTCTACAATGTAGTCTGAAAGTTTGATGCCTCAGTTTGAGTGTAGTGATGCTGCCCTCTGCTGTTAGCATAGCAGATTACTGACATGCCAACTGATGAAAAACAGTTCACTATGTAGAGCGACTGGGCTTAGAATCTGGAAGACTCCTCTTCCAGAGGTCAAATCTGGCCTCAAATAGTTACTAGCTGTGTGACCTTGGACAAGTCACTTAACTCTATTTGCCTCAGTTTTCTCCTCTGTAAAATGAGCTGGAGAAGGAAATGGCAAACCTCTCCAGTATTTTTGCCAAGAAAACTCCAAATGGGGTCACAAAGGGTCAGATGTGACTGAAATGACTGAATAACAACACTGAAAACTATCACACTAGCTACACGTAAGCTATTTGTGCAAGTTTAAAAATTTTAAATACAAAAAATGAGGTTATTGGCTATCTGCAAACTGGCACTGAGGACTTGCCCAAGTATAAAGAAAAACTTGATTAAGAATTTAAAATATATGTAAAAAAATTTAAAGCTTAAAGTACAAAAACAGTTTAAAAAGAAATTAAAATGTCATTCAGTTTTTAAAAATGAGACTTTTATTTATTGGTGTTTAAATTATTTTCAATTCAAAGTATTTTTTAAATGAATTTCAATATTTAAAAAAGTCCCATATCATACCCATCCATCTATTAAGCTGAAGCTCTGTGGGTCCATTTACAAATAAACCACATGTGGTTCCCAAACATAGGCCTATATGCACTGCTAAGAACATGCAGACACTATTATGTCCACATATATGGAGGCAGGATAGTTGAGAGACTAGCTTGAGAGAAGGACATCTTTCTGTGTAAATACACAGATGTGCATGCTAAAATGAACTACTTCTCGCTTAAACAAGAGTGCGTACAGAGGGACTTGGGGAAAACCAATCAAGAGTCACTCCATTTAAAGTATAACTGTGGATGACCACATAATGACCTGGTGTGGAGCGACAAGGCTAGGATTAGGAGAGCTGCCATCAAAGGGTGCTAAGAGATACTCCACACCCCAAAGCCACAACTTCAGATGGAATGGAAGCCCCTGCTTTAAAGAGGAAGAGGGGCCTGTGATTGATAGAGACTCTCCCGGTTGAGGCAGGTATCATACATAGCGCCATGCTTCAGAATATTAAGAGTTTCATTGTACAAATTCCATTTAATTTAATTCCATAATCATTTATTAAGCATCTATTATATGCAAGGCTCTGTGCTGGGTCTGGGGATACGAAATATGAAATAGTCTTATTGCACTTAATATCAGGTGTTTTTTGATGTGTTGGTTGGTTTTTGCTGAGTGTTTTTCCCTTCTCCCTGCCTCCCAACCCCTTATTTTTTCTCTTTGTTATTAGTTTGTGGAGGGGGGGTATAAAATACTTCAGAAAATATAAATGATGTGAAAATCAAATATATCAATACAATTTTAATTTTTTAAAAAACTAAACAGTTCCTGCCTTCAAATAGTGTATATTCAAATCTACAAACTGTAAACTAAATAACTTGATTTAGCCTGTGTGTGTGTGTGTGTGTGTGTGTGTGTGTAGGGGGGAGGGGGGTGGACGATGTGTTTTCCTGGGCTCTACATTTGTAATGTGGTTGACCAAAGCTCCCAAGCCATAAGCTAGAGAGATATTGTTTCTCTTTTCTGTCCAGACAGCTCAAGGTATTCCAGTCGCTTCCTTTCCTCTCAGTATGCATAAATCACTGCAGAGGAATAGCAAAAGGGATTCTCCGAGGAGGGGGGAAAGTATGACTTCTCTAGCCTCAGGGGACTGTGTTTGCGTGGGTGGGAGGGAAACAGTGGGGAGAAGGAGAGTTGCAACTGTTCCAGCCTCAGCCCACTTTTGGGAAGTACAATGGAAGAGCTCTTGGCGTTCACAGTGGCTGAGAGAGTCATGCAGGAAAGGAAATGATGTAGGTATATACAAGGCTTGCTGCCCATTTGTGTTTGTCCTAAGTGGTCTGGGAAATTCACAACCCTCCTCTGTATTCTATAGCCACCTTTGCTCCATCAAGTCTGTCCTTTGTCATCAGGGTTACTCCTGGGCATTCTGGCAGTTACCATGGACACCATCTGGGGCTTGGCTTACTGCCCTCTGATGTTCATGGGAGCCCAAACAGAAGGTTGCAGTCATAATGGAGACATACACAGAAGGGAACAGTCTTCTTAGTTCTTTGTCCAGATCTATGGGAATTTTTTAAAATTAAAATTTATTTTTTTCAATGAATAAAAATCTATTTCTCTCCCTCTTCCTATTTAAAAAAAAAAGAAAGAAAAACAAAGCTCTGGTAACAAATATGTATAATAAAGCAAAACAAATTCCCAAAATAACTGTCCAAAAACATAGGTTGCATGCCACACCCTGAGCCCATCACTCCTCTGTCAGGATGTAGGCAGGCTGCTTTGTTATCAGTCCTCTGGTAGGGTGACTGGTTGTTGCACTGATCAGAGTTCCTAAGTCTAAATGAATTAATACGGAGAATTAAGTCTTGGTTTCTCTCCTCACAGCAACTCTATGCTTGGATTCAAACTGTGGCTGTGACGAGGCCCAGTCGGGAGGCAGGAGACTTGTCTATGTCTGAGGATGTCCTCCCCTTCAGCTCAGACTCAGGAATGGGCTGTGAGAATGACTCTGAGGCAGTCACGAGCCTGTCAGAGCCCCTCACCCCAGACACATGCAGTCATGCTTTCTCCATTGGGCAGGAGCTGGAGCCTGAGGAGGGAATGTGCTCCCTGGCAGACCTGGACAGCCAGCAACAGCTAGGAGACCTTTCTGGCTCCTCAGATATCATCAAAGAGCATGAACTCTGGCTGGCAACTTGCATCTCTGCCCTGGAGAGGGATGTCTCAGAAGAAGAGCTGGCTGAAATAGATGGGGCTGTGGACGCCCTCGCAAGGTGGGAGATGTTCACAGGGCAACTCCCAACCCCCAGAAAGGACTTGCCTCTCAGCAGAGACACTGCAGGGCTACGAAAAGTCCTGGGGGACAAATTCTCCTCCTTAAGGCGGAAGCTGAGCACAAGAAAACTGTCTAAAGCTGAAACCTCCCCTTGTCGATGGAACTGGGAAGACAATTAGTATAGCAATACCAAGCCTACCTTTCTTGACTCCTTTTTGTTCAGGGTAGAAAAAAATTGTCTTTTCCATTCGTCTTTCCCTTTTCCCTCTTCAGCTCCATTATATTTATAAGCAAAATTGAGTTGAAAAGTAACCAAGGACCGTATGGATGTATCAGTGGGAGGCCTTCCCGCCCCACAAATGCCTATTTTTATTAGATTACTGAATAGGATTTAGTTTCTACCATTTCCTTTACAGAATCACAGATCAATATTAGAAGGAACTCAGAGACCATCTAATCCAACTTCTACTCATATTAAGAATCCTTCATCCATCCCCGATTAGCCTTTGCTTAAAAAACTCCAAGTGAGGGGAAACCCATTACCTCCCATGGCAGCCATTCCAAGGTGGTGGAATCACTTTGGGATGGTTCTAATAGTAAGGAAGTTTTAATCTCCCTGATTTATTTCTGTCCACCTTTCCTCCCTACTTCCCAAAATCCCAACCCTAGACCTCAGATATCCTGAGAGCTCCAGATACTGAGCTGAGGTCCAGTGAGGTAACATGTAAAGCGCCTTGTAGACCTTAAAGTGCTATATAAATGCCATTATTTTTGTTATTATTGTTGTTGTTGTAATTGTAACTGGATGCCATAGGGGATGAAGAGAGTTCTTGTGTTCCAAGCTTCTTGAAATGTTTGTGGCTTCCTAAACAAACGTGTCTGAGCAAGGAGCAGGGATGACAAATCTTATCGTCTATCTTTCTGCGCCTAAGGTGCTGACCTACAATGGGTCAACGTTCACATTAACTTCGAGGAGAAACCATATCTGCTCTCCATATCTGGGGCTCCTTCTTCTGGGAATCTGGAATCTCTTTGAGGGGTGGGACATGGGTCCCTCTCCCCTATTGCCAGCAGAGGGACCTGCGCCTGCAGCAATTGAAGGAAGGAAGTGGTTCAGTCAATCTCTCATTCCAGGCTGAGATTTTAGTGCCCACTGGTCTCTTTAGTTATTTATATCTAGCAGCTCAAGAGGCTGATAGAATTTCAGGCAAGGGAGTAACAGAGGGAATACACTGGCTCCCTCCAGTAGCAAACTGATTTGGCATTCCAAGGCTGATAATAGACATCTCCACTCCCACGAAAGGGGAAACTTCAGATTTTTTCCTTATCTATGCTGCCTCCCTCTGTAAAGCAAAGCCAGTCTTAATGATCAAGACTTCAATGGCAATTACATCAATAAAAGTATGTAATAATGTTCACCCCACATAAATCCATGTGGTCTTACGCAGGGTAACCAACTTTCACTAAAAATAATCATTTCTGTAAAAAAAAAAAAATTAGTGATCTTGTAAGAATCTGTCCAATGTAAACCTTGCTCTTTCTGTCTCTTTCTTCCACAGACTTTGTGTGGGGGTGGGGGTGGGGGAGGTGGGGGATGTCAAGCGTAAAGATTTGAAAAGTGCCGCAAGACTTTGACCCTTTCCCTCCTATTCTACTACAGATGCCTGTAGTAACTTGCAGACCACGGTAAGGTCTGGGTAGCCTAAAAGGGTAAGGACTAAGTCTTCTGATCTGAAGCCTCTCAATGCGGAAGAATCAGAATGCGGACGAGAAATCTCAATGCAGAGAGGCAAGAGCTCACAGAAAGACCAGAGAGGATAAAACAAAGTTGTTCTTGCAGGTGAGTCCTGCTCCAGTAAAATGCCAGGACATGAATGCTGAGTAAATTCAGAGAAGTGATGTTGTAACTCAAAAATAGCATTAACATGTTCAAATTCACACTTCCCCTTTATAATCTTGAGAGGTCTTACAATGAGGGCTCTTTAAATAAGAATTAAGAGAAGATAAAGAACATGTGAACCAAGGAGCAATATTGTGCAAAGAAGGAAATATCATATATAATAGTGTTGCTGGAACAGAGGAATCCAAGAACACAGTTTCCTGCCTGGGTAGCCTACTGATGTTCCATAATCTTACCTATTTTCTGATTTCCTCCTGATCTCTTCTATAATGGCTGTACTTAGATTAAATAGAGATCCCAATAATAAAAGGCATGGTACAGCCCTCTAGGGGCTGAGGGCAAAATGTCATGTATGATCATTACTAGTTATTTTACCTTGTCAGTGAAATGGATGACTTCCAGATGGTAAACAATTGACTCAGTCAACTGGTATCTAATTAGGTACCTTTGCCCACACCCTCTCATCCCCAGTGGTTTTGAGAACAAATGAAGAGCATGTGGAAGATGGTAAGAAGCAATAATCAATATCCATTTTAAAAGAGATCACTTTGCAGCAGTCTTTGTTGCTTACTAAGAAAAGATGGTGGAAACCCTTAGGGAGTAGAGCTTTTAAAACGAAACATTCTGAGAGTAAAGACTCAAGATCAATCCCCACTAACCTCCTAAGCCTCAATTCCTGCTTTTGCTCATGCTGACAGTTAAGATCTTGAAATACCAAGATAAAAACAGTTAACATCACAGTGGATTTGCTATTAAATTCACCCTGTACAAATCTCTCCCAAGTTTTTTAGGCCTATGATGGAACACAAACTAGACCTTATTACCTTGTGGCCTTGACCCTTAACCTCTTTGGACCTGTCTCCTCATCAGCAAATGAGGGATTTGAATTTTGGTGACGTCTGAGGTCCCTTCCAACTCTAAATCCACAATTCATGCCCGTAAAATGGAGCTAAACTCGTTATTGGTTGCAGACATTGGTTTCCAAGAAGCTAGAGGGACTGCATGAAATTGAATCATTTAGCAGCTTGTTTTCATTTCTGTACTAAAGAAGACCACTCTACCTAATTTTCTCACGTTATTGGCTAGCAAAAGCCCTTAAGACTTTCAAAGTATAGGCATTTCCTTACCTTCGGCAGGCATATACACAAAATTTTAGTTGGACTGGCGATTGCCTAATTGGTACCTTCATCAGGGTAGGTATAGGACAGGCAACATGGCACAAAGGAGAGAACATAGGCTCGAGAGGATGTTATCATATGCCAAGTCTATATATTCTGTACAGAGGGGCACTTCTTATTTGCTACTGAGAAGGAAGAGGTATCTTCCAGGTTGGGAAGATAGAAAAAAAAAGATGATATTGGAAGGGGAAGGTAGCCTTCAGCATTTAAATATGCTTGTAAGTGACAATCTTCACTAACACTGGACGGCAGTGGAACACAACGTGAAGAGCTCAAGATTTGGCATCAGAGAAACTGGCCTCCGCTTCCCAGCTGTCACTTTCTCACCTTAGACAATTCCCTTCAGCTCTCTGGACCCTCCATTCTTCACCGATAAAACGAAGCATCTGGACTAGGTTACCTTTAAAGGCCCTTCTCTTCCAATTCTGAGTCTATGGTCCTATGAAAGACACACTGTAGTTTTTGACTAAATTGGTCTAGCCCTGACAGGAGAGGAAACAGGACAGCAAAGAAGCCGTTGAATGAATAAAAAAGTCCAAAAGCAGTAAGGAAACCTGTAGCCACCTGGTTTTAAAGCAATACCTCTCTCTCAGCCCTGTAGTACTTAGTTTATGAGATTACTCAGAAGGCCTTTTGGCAGAAATGAGCAGACTGGGTGGGTGGCCAGGGGTTGGGGACAAAGATGCCAACAAAAATAAAACCCTGAGGAGCTCAGGCTTATTTGGTTTGTTTATTTAAAGAGGGAGAGGTCCCCCCCAAAAGAATATTTATATCCTCATGAAGGCCAGAGAACGAGGACTTAGTGTGGCTGTCTCACAAACTTGTTCTTGAGAAGGCTTACACGTGGCTGTGATGAAACAAAAGCCCTCCTTATAAGCTTGCTGTGTTAAAACTACAGCAAGAGGGGAAGAAGTGGATTTTGCTGCCTGGTTTCAGGACTAAAAAGGGACAGCAAAGACTCATGTACTTCACACTCCATTTTCCAAAAATGGCTTTCAATCACTTTGGCTACTCCAGAAACTGACAGCTAAAAAGACCAGTTAGTCAGAATGGGATTAGATTCAACCACGGTCTCATTCTAAATGGGGGCACCTACATAGATGGAAGCTTCTATCGCTTCAAAAAAAAATCAATGAAACAGCAAATTTATGATACCTATAAAAACAGGGCAGTCAAATATAAATGAAGATAATATGAAATATTATTTATAAATGCTTATACATTTACAAATACATGAATTCATAAATTTATAAACAACATAAATTTGTTATTTATAAGTAAGCAAATGCAAAGTAATTTAGATAAGAACTATTAAAATTAGGAACTTGATATAACTAGTCAAGACCACCTTTCTTTTTATAATGTTGCACAGCTAAAATATTTTTTTAATTAAAATTTTCTTTCCTCTCCTTCCACCTGCACACCACCACCCCCACTCATCTCTCCTCTTTGCCTCCCCACCCCGGGGAAGAAAACCCTTCTAAGAAATACATATAGTCAAACAAAACTAATTCTTGCGTTGGGCATGTCCAAAAAATTTGTCTCAATCTGCATGCTGAGGAGATCACCTCTGTCAGGCAGGCAGGTAGAGTAGCATGTTTCAGTGGTTCTCTGGATTCATAGTTGGTCATTGTGTGGACCTGAGCACACAAATCTTTCAAACTTGTCTTTACAGTGTTTCAACATATAAATCGTTCTCCTAGTTCTCCTCACTTCACATTGCATCAGTCCATACAAGTCTTCCCAGGTTTCTCTGAAATGGTCTTCTCATCATTTCATTACTTTCATAAACCATAATTTATTCAGCTATTCCCCTAAAGTTACTCCCTTAGTTTCTAGCTATCATTACAAAAAGAGCTGCTACACTTTGGTTCACGTAGGTCCTTTCCCTTATCCTTTGATTCCTTTGGGGTGGAGGCCTAGTAGTAATAGTATTGGTGTGTGTTATATAGTATTAACCTTGACTAAACAGGATTTCTTTATCACCGATTCATCTTTACATTCAAGTTTTAGGAGAATAAGACAAATGAAAAGCAAACAAGCTTATGCCAGGGATTTCTGTTAAAAAGGGAACCTGTAGGATATGTCCTAAGGTCAGTCCCTCCACAGCTACAATATATAGTACAGTTAGAACTGATGTTCAGAATGATCATAAGGCAAGGCAAAATCCTCAAGCACCAGAGATTAAATTATATTCCCTTGATTCCATTAAAGAGCTGGAACCAGATTATTCAAGGAGAATCTGTAATAACAAGGGTTGAAATAAAAAGGATGTTCTGCTTTTACCCTCAGCTAACCAGAAGATTAATCAGAACTCTTCTCCAAGCCATTTCTTAATTACTTCAGTTATATAAGGTCTTACTGCACTAGAGTTGCATGCAACAGGCAGTTCAATAACTAAATTCTAATAAGCAGCAGCAATCTCTCTGTATTGAGACAATGCTTGTGACATTTGCAAGGGAGGTCAGACCTAAAAGAAGTATTCCAGAGTTAACTCCTATCCCTGTCCCTGTTTGGAAGCTCCCTCTGTACTTGCTTATAAGTCTAGCTTAACAGATAGAAAAAGCATAGTGAGAAAAACTAAGACTTAAGTGAGAGTTTAATTTCAAGCACAGTATCACACGAGTCTAGTTCAGTTTATTTTCATCACATTGTAGCATTTTAGGTAAGTATGATATTGAAGTATGACTAGAAAAGGAGTTTGGCAGGTCCTAAAGAGAGGGGCCAATTGAGGGATGGCTCTGATGTCCAATCTAACCTGTAGAGGTCTGGAGGAAACCCTCGCGAGTGTTGAAAGGTGGAGGACTTAAGGGAAATCACAGACAAGAGTCACACAGAAAGAAAAGGCAGGGATGAGGTCGTGACCTATGCTACTGGAGGGAGTACCTTCATCAAGATCACAGGTCTGAGTTCCAAGGTAGCATTTCAAGTTTTAGTGCCAAATACGTGGTATTTTCATGCTCCATATTCTGTCCGTCCTCTTGTTGAATGGAGAGTGGCAGGATGACAGAGTATCTTCCCCTGGTTAAGAGAAAGGAACCCAGAAAAGAAGCTACGGGAACTGGAAAGGGACGAGAATTTGGAGGCAAATGGACAATAAGAGACTGAAGTGTAGGGATGATATATGTCCAACTGCAAGATAAGACCCAAGATGCATAACAAAAACCTGATTTATGTGTCATTTCATATAGCAGCTGAGAAAGGCAAGAGGAAAAATAGATCCCATTTGCCTAACCTGATAGGGTCTAGTTGAAAGGAAAATGTAGGGAAGGAAAGGAGATAGGAAGGAGAATCTTTTTGCTTAACATCCTATCACCCTCCCAGCTGAAATCCTGCCTATCCTTGAAGATTTAGCTATGGGTTGCA